TATTGTGCCGCCTATAACCAATTTGTTGAAAGCACATAGGTTTGCAAGTCTCTCCCCATTTTCATTTCTTTTTCCTAGTCCGTGTCGTCCGATTATATCTTCATATCCTGTGTTGTCCACTCCAACTTTAGCATTTAGATTTCCCATCAGGATGGTGAGGTCCTTTCGTGAGCACTTTGCTACAATTGATTGCAGCCTTTCATAGAACTGATCTTTATCATCGTCGTTGCTATCATTGGTGGGTGCATAACATTGGATAACGTTCATTGTGATCCCTTGCTTCTTTGTTCTGAATGATGCTTTGATTATAAACAAAGTATGCATGAAATAAACGATTCGCATAACAGCAGCTGCTATTGGTGTTTTGGACTCAAGTGGACGGGTTAGGCGGATAAGGTTCAATAAGGACGCTAGGTTGCTCATACTAATCGAGCGTCATTGTCACAGTGTGAAGGTCGCAGAAGGCGTATTCTATTGGTGGATAATTTACGCGAATTACGTCCTTGTTAAATTCGTAAGGTCATAACAAATCAGCGACGACCTTGATCAAGTCATAACAATTGGCTACAGCCCAGGTCAAATACATAACAATTGACAATACTTATGAATACGAGGATGATTAAAGATGAATATGCGTATCATGATGTAGCAAGTACTCGAATAGAGTTAATAAGGTAATAAAATTCGTTTGTTTCGAATAAATAAATTCCTTTTGAGAGGGAAAGTTCCAGAACATCAAACTAGTGACTAGAATTCATAGGGTTAAATAACATTAGACGATTGTGTAATGAGGTAGCTGAAAAGAGATTATTGGTAAATTTCAGAAGACTGGAGTTTGATTGTTTATTAATCGCATTGAAAGACTTCATTTTATCCACTTGATGTTCTGTATTAAGGCGATATATTGAGATGGCACTAATGAATACTTTTAATCCACCTAACCTTAGACTTTTTGGAGTATGTTCTTTGAATCGGTCGTAGCCTCTGCCTTCTGTCCTACCAATGTGAATGCTTTGGCAGATACATATGAATTTGTATACACAGTTGGTGGTAACATAAAAGGGATTCCTATCAATCTTTGATTGTGTTAAAGAAAATGTTTTGGACAAGACAATCAGTTTAGTTGCAGAATAAGTTCTATTCAATGAGGCTTTTAGTCTCATACTGACTGACCATGTGACATCATCACCTTCGGGTTTTAGTTGAATAAAAATAGATTTTTTGTCTACTGTAGTTTCTTCTTTTTATCTTCGCATTTTACATATTTATCAATATGTCCGTTATTCATCAAAAATTTTTCAACATTCTATACTTCCTCTTCTAGTGTATCGGCAGTACATATACTTTCTATTCTATGCAAGAGTGTTTCAAAACTGAGTGAATAAAAGCTATTGAAATTGAAATAAATCCCATTATACGTGTCTTTTCTATGAACTGAACGTTGAACTGTCCCATGCTTCCCTTATTTTATTGCGACATGGAGAAATGGAACATGTTTTCATTCTCATGTTTCATAGTAAACTGAATATTTGGATGGATTTCGTCTAAACGTTTTAGCAGATTTGTTGCATGTTGTTGATTATTACATACGAATAATGTATCATCAACATACCTCGAATAATGCATCATTTCTCCACTCGCTCCTTTGAGCTTGGTTCTTTCGAGATTAGTCATGAAAATATCTGCTAGGGCAGGAAGCTAACGGACTTCCCATTGTTACACCATCTGTTTTTCCGCATATGGTGTTGTTGATTTGAAACTGAACATCTTTTCTACATATGATTTGTAAGCACATGCATAGCAATGTAGACTTACTGTTTATTTGTTTTATCTATAAAACGATAGCAGATTGCATTCCTATTTTCCAGACTCGATGAAATTAAACAGGAAATCTACATCATGATGTTAAAATCCTATGCATTTTTGAGCAAGAAAAACGTTTCATGATAAATTTCGGTTTGATTATAAAGAAAACCCCATCATTCAATGCATTAGGCTTAAGTAGCAATGCAATATAAAATCAACTCGAAAAACCATCACAAATGTTAATGAGACAACAGCCTTTAAATTTCGGAAATAAGATACGATAATTCCGAAGATTTTGATGTTGCTGAAATCTAGACGAAAATGACTGACTTCTTCTCAGTGGTCTGGTGTTAAAAACAGTGGATTTTATGACGAATATCCTTAGATATTTGAGTGGTCTATCACTTATTAGTGTTTAATTATCAGCCTCATATCCCTGGAGCAACATTTTCTTCCAAATAAAAGTGGTAAGAACTTAGACAATTTTTCCAATCTTTAATACTATGTAAATTTCCTACCCACAAATTTTGAAAAAGTGAAAAGAGAAAGTACTTGTCTTGGAACATTTCTGCAGCTTTTTTGGTTAAGATTTGAATAAGGTAATGAACACGATTGGATCACTCTTTGTAATATTGCTAAGCCGAACACGTATTAATTGATTTGTTATAACCTGAAAAGGATACAAAGGCCAATCTTGACAAACTACATTGTGTATATTTAAATTATTTATTTATTTGGGAATCAAATTAACTTGAAAACGTTTGGTGAAAATGTTTGACCTACTTCTTTGTAATCTAAATGACTATATACCACTTTACCAGAATATTTATTATCATAGAAGAGCATTATGATATGTTCATTATGACTGCTAGCGATTATTTTGTTTCAAGTATTGTGGGAACATTTTATCTGAAGTGTTTATTTTATTTATAATCACATATGTTTCAGTGATTTATGTGTTTTGTGATGAGATATCTACATCACACTAAGCATGAAATATTAAATGAAGAGATGGTTATGAATCCATCTGTCTATGACTGACATCAGGACAAATCATAATGTGTCAAAAGTCACACTGCAAAAAATTGCGGAAAGGAAATATCCTAATAAAGTTTTGATCAAACTACGATTTATAATTTGATATTAAGTTTAGAATACAGTTTAACTTAACTGAGTACAATGAAGAAGTTCATAGTAATACAATCAAATTATTTCATTTTGTAAACTGTATTTTATTTATTTTATTTAAACACATAAATATTGGTACAAAAAGCACCAGATAAATATGCGCCTCACAAATCTCATTTGATTTGTGTGAGGGCTGAGATACTGCCCGGGTGCCCAGACTGAAGCAGGTGGTTTTCTTAGGGGGCCACACCCGGAGCCTTTGACCTAAAGGTCTGATCCACAAGGCAGTAGAGCATCGTGAGGAGATGCAGTCCCATGGTAGCCGGTGACCAACAATAGGTTCATACGTCATTCGTACCATCAGGATACTGGAGCCCATGTGCACCATTGATTTGGAATCAGGGTTTTCCAACTCCCCTAGGTGGACCCTCCATGTCCACCAACCCGGTTAAAGCGCCGGACATTCGCTTTTCGTCCTCTCACTTTCGTAAACAACACCCCGCCACGAGAAGGCAGTGAGTAGGACTTCCCTGGCAGAGGCTATATATTCGCTGGCCATGTGAGAGCATTTCGAGAGGGAGAGTGGACTCTCCCCACTCTCGGCCGTACCATGGCATTTGGGGACCTTTGTAAACTGTTCCATTTATTAATTTCAAAAAGCTAATTGAATCCACTGTTATATATGTGACATATTCAGTAATCTGCATTGAGTATACAAATATTGGTATTCTTCTAAATATTGATGCCATACTGTTAGCATTAGTTGTAAAAAGAACAAAGATCAATTTACTAAAAGCTGTCGAATATCGCTTCATTGAATCAGTCATCTAAAAAATATTTAGAACATTGTTACTATCTTATTCCATGTAATACAATGTTATCATTTATCGTTATAAGTTTCACTGTCAACAAAAGTCAATAAAGACAGTTAACATATGTGTTAATGGTCACTTAGTGTTCCATCCTACAACTTTTCAACGTCAATGTAAACATACGATATCTCACTTAATTTCCCCTCAAGTGAAATCAGTGTACTTTACCTGAAGAAGACCATTTGGGTGTTTAATAAGTTTTCTTATGTTGATAAAATCTCATTCAAAAGAAGATGCTATTTAAATTACCATTCTTTTTTCTTATTTCTCAACTGATTTTGCCACAGTACTTTACTGAATAATCTCAGTGATCTTATTCCTTTTTAGTATAATTACAAAAACATGGCTCAAATGATTTATGACATTCTATTAACTCCATAAAAAACATCTCCACTTAGTACTATGGTACCTTTATTTCAATAGTAAAACATCTTGAACAAACAAACGAATAGTTTATCTCTTTAAACTACTTTATGGACTAATTTTCAGCAATACGTTCTTTGTATTGACATTGTTGACAATGAAATGTAATCTACTTTTATTCAAGGTTATTTTATTATTAGTGCAATAGTAATTCAAAGCATTCCTGCATCTCCTTTTCTGTTATAACGTTAATGAAGTTTTCGACAAAGTTATCTTCGTGTTTTTTGTAAAATATGGTTAGCCTTGAAAATTTAGTTTAATATGGCTTATATTTAGCCTATATATAATCCATAATTTATACAAACTAAGGTCAAATTTTTTGGGACGGTAATTACTATTCGTTTCTAATATATTTTGAGTTGAAAATGATTACGGCTTGACATTTAGCTACTTGAAATCTATAAAAGTACATCTATTCAGAGTTAAAGTGTATTATGAAAATTCCCCTACTACCTACCGTGTTGAAACGATACTTGTTTCTCATAACTGACCAACATAACTATTTATCGAAAGCTTTATGTATCAATTATGTTTATCTATTATATTGTCAACAAATCATTAGATTTCACCTGCAACTTATCTATCATTCGACATCTAGTTTAATCAAAACCATCTGATATAATTGACCTTAAAAATAAAGGAGAATATCAGAACTATGTTCTGATAGTCTGATAATCTTCGTCTTCTCATTGCATTATCGAAATTTATCAAAGGGACTAATTGCTTTAAAGGAGAATAGTAGATACTACTTGTAACACATTTTAAATGACATTTTGTTATTCATTTACATTTTTATTTATTTGTATATAATCAGATTTATTCACAATAATATCTAGACAACCAGGTTTTATGAAGGAAATAACAATATTTAGAAATAAGATATATATATATATATATATCCTGCATGTTCATCAGTTTAATATGGAATATATGTTCTAAAGGGTGATTATATGAAATAGTTTAAATATAAGTCAAGTATATACTAAGATCTTTAAAATTTGTCAAATTGATATAGAATAAGAAAGAGAAATTTCAATTGTGTATATAATGTACTTAAGAAATAGTTGTATATATTCTTTATAAACATTAAAAGATTACAAAGTTATTGTTCATTAATTTAAACTGTATCACTATGTGTATCACCACTTTCATATGCCCAACTAGTTTCTTGAATTTGACAATTTATATTGTTTGATTGAGGCCATGGTTGTTCAGCAATATAATTTACAGAATGTAATGTATTTGTTGGTTTGTCAATTTTTGATTTATTTTCATTACAGACACAATTTTTATGATTAGACATTGAATCACAACAATCATGTGATTTTGTTTCAATTTCCTTAGAACTTTGAATTTTATTGGTTGAATATTTTGTTTGTAATTTTTGATTATTTTTATTTAATAATTGTTCAAATGTTGACCCGGAGAGATTTCCTATATTCTGCATGATATCTATTGGTACCGGGAAGAAAATAGTTGATTTCTTTTCAGCTGATATTGCACATAATGTTTGTAAATATCGTAATTGGAATGCCATCGGTGAAGTAGATATAACTTTTGCAGCTTCTTTTAACGATCTAGCTGCCTCTTGTTCTCCTTTAGCAGCAATTACCTAAAGGTGTGAAATAAATAAGATAAAAGTTATGACAATTAGAATTAGCTAGGTAGGCAATCCCATCAATATTGATGAAAGACATCAATTTTCTGTATATTTAATTTATTCCTGACTTGAATTCAGTCAACAATATGGAACTTGTCTTCAGTCATTCTCTTTACACTGATAAAGTATTCTCCGTAATGAAAATCGATCACAAGACTTTGTTTTCCAGACCTGGTCTAAATTCTTTTATAGCAATTCAGGATACATTACATCCTCCTGAACGTATAGGTTTTCATCAATCTAGACTATGCAGCTTCTCAGACTTTTTATTTACATTACGATGTGATATTAACTAGTCATTTATCTAAATCCTGAAAGCCGAATAAGCGAAAGTCAAGTCCTTGCAATTAAGCCTATAGGTCCTGGATTAGTGAACGATAACTGTTGTGGAATCCTCTACTAGAACATAATAACTGGTTATTGTTTCCTGGTTTCCAGGGATTGTTCTGAAGTCCAGATTGTAGATTTAAAAACCTTTCACTTTCATTTGTAAGGGATTGAATTTTTTTTGTACTTGATATCAACGACAAATTTTCAGGTGTCTGTGAATTTCAAAGCTTGAGACAGACAAATATATATATGAATATACTTGTGCTAAGTATGTTTCATTTTTACAGTATTGTGACTACTGATGTACATTAGTGAAGGGAAGTAATTCACTTTCATTTTAAATACAGTATAATTTAAAACTAAATTGATAATCAATTGGATAAATGAAGTTTCAATTTAGTCCAATTATTTCTCAAAAAGTGTGAACAATTACACAGTTGATAGAAGATAATTCTTTGATGAGAATCATGAGTCATCAAACAGTTTGTAAGATTTTAAGGCGACAATTCTCAGTTACAAAAGGACAAGCAGAGTAAGGAAATATCTCTTTCTTATTAATTCCCCTTCACTGATCAACATTAACACGCATATTTTACAATAAAAATAGCATAATCAGAACCACTTTTCGTGAATAATATTGGACGTAGTATTATATTTTCACAGAACCATGACGAGAAACTGGCAGTGTCATTTTAATTTAAAGACGAACTAATCGGAATAAAGATAATAAGATTTGAACTTTGAGCAAAGTACGTTCATCAATATGGTTGCAACGAATTTCTGGATCGTAACTGTTATCAGGTCGTACTGAAAACCTTAAATCTAATTTCTTATCTTAACCGCCAGCTCAAGCTCCTATTACTATTTCCCAGCCCGTCTTAGAACAGAATAAGTAATTAAAAGCTGATGATCGCTTTTAGAGTCCATTAGGTTGGTTCATAAGTGTAGTGTTACAAGTTTATGCTCTTGGTCAGTGCATGATCTTTGATTTTTTTCCATCCACTGAACACTAATGGTAAACGTGAAATTAAAGGAGTAACATGAATACCAGGTAAAAAAACAGATTTTTCAGAATTAACACAGTTTTTCACAGAGTAGTTTTAATATCTTGCTCGTTAGAAATAAGGAGATTTGAAAAGTAAAGTCTCATGTTAACTCTTACATTCAAAACATACTCAGAAGATTATTAAATCCAATCAATTTCTTTAAATATGTTTCAGCTCAAATAAACTAAACCAATATAGTGAGTAGCATATAATTCAACGCATCTTACTTCACGATACATTTTTTCTAACTCAAAAAAATAAAACCTTATTTATTTCCCACACAATCCATATACACACACACTCAATTTCAGTCCTACTACATTATATTACTAATGCATACATTTCTCATACCCATCTTCAGATGCATAAATTAATTCAGTGACAGGCCATACAAATTCATCTTAATCAAGAATAACTTGACTTCGGCATATTCAGACCTCCTACGATTTGGTTGTATTAAAAAAGTATTTTTCATTGTTTCCTTTATACTATTTAGACCTGTGTTAATGTAGTTCAGTTATTTACTAACTCTGATGAACTGGCTTACATTAAGTTACGATACGTCAGAAATACAATTTATTACTCATTGCAGTATATTAAAAAATATACATTTATTGTTAACTTTCTACCCAAAGCTCAATTTATTTGAAAATATCAAATACAACCCTGGCATTGATATCAATAAACCTTTCTATACGTAAACTGAGTAGTATTATAAATTACAACCACCGTTTACTCAATGCTTAGCTATAAATAAAGATCTTGTTAACAGTATAGTACATTAGTCTGATCGTGTATAATACAAGCACAAACATATAGCTACGTAACTTTGTCCTCAAACAAAATTGCCATAATATGTAAGATTAAAAAAAACTTTTGTAAACAGATAAACAATAGAGTATTAATTCGATAAATATTTATAAAAATATATGCTCAGAATTGAGTAGAAAGGTAAAATTCATCAGTTTACTTGCAATAATATTCATGTTGGTATAAAATTGATTTTTGTATAGTTTAAAAGTTTCACATATAACCGTATTACATACACCTTTTATTCAGTGTTTATTCATTTGGGACAAATACATGCATCTGTTTGTTACTAGTTGGATGAACATTATTTTATATCTCTACTTTCAAGAAAGAAATATATTTGCGTCAATCAAATCGTTAGTTTGTTGGTTTGATATTCCTTTTAGAAAGTCAGATTTATGATGATCATTAAATATAACTGAGATAATTATATTTCCGAAAACTAGGAAAAAATGAGTATCTAGTGTGTGAATTATGTAAATTATAATGTTATCACTTATAAATGTAACGCATATAAACATACTATCGGATGTCTGTTCAAAGTTCAGCTGGTTTTACGTTTTTTATAGAGGACACTTTCTTACAAATGCCAAAGAAATACTTTATAAGTTAGAAAGATTCAGCTCATTAAAGAAGTAAAGATAAAATATCATAGAAATGTAGGGGAATTAAGAACAACATTTAGCACCCACACTTCTGAATATGTGCTGCGAACAGTTGGCTTAATAAAACGACGAGCATCAATTTAGTGAATTCAATGCCTAAAGAGAATCTGAATTATTTTAGCTGTCGAGCATGAAGTTTAAAAATAAGTTCGTTGACCTAATACCATTCAGAAAAATGCCTGTGGTTTAGTTCTTGTGTGTTATGTGATTCCCATAGTGGTTGATGACCACATAACAAAACTAATATTTATATAAAAGAATAGTCACACCTTGAAAACATCAGATGAAGTACATCAAGTTAATATACGGTGGCTACAAACAGACAAACTTATATCAAACCAGTCTTGTATTAATTATATAATTAATATGGTTTATAGCACTTGTATTACTTTTTTTAATGTATTCGACAAATATTGAAATAATGATCAAAAACCTCATTATTCGTTTATTCATATCATGAATTCTATACATTTTATCTTGGTTTATCAGATTGCAGATTTAACAAAGTCGGTTTTCATCTCAAGTTGTCATGCATCCCTATTTTAGCAATACATATGTACATATATTTTGCTACATCCAAAATTAAAATCTAACACCTCGTTACCATTATATTAAATTTTATCAAAAGATGGATAAAACTCTAGAATCAATTCATATCACTTTTTGTGAGAAACTTATCAATCGATGTCGTAATAAAATGAAAGTAGCATGTAAGGTGGTTTTAGGTAGTCTACAGGAAAGTCTGGACCTAGGTTTCTTGCTCACTCACCAACGAGGTCTGACTTTAAAATTGAGAGGACCGATGTCGAGTCACCTCGATTAATGACTTCATCGAAACTTCATCGACAGAATTCGGTTACCAGTAAGATTAATCTGAGATACATGATATTGATCACCACCCAGTGTTCAATCAGCTGTAAATTATGGTATTACATATAATATAATCTCACTATTCATTGGAATTAAAATCTTATTGATTTTGTATTGAAACGATTATTTGACGTTGTGTTTACGAATTAAAAGTCACTTTTATTGAGAAGTGATATCAGATGAAGAAATATTAGAGGAACAACTGCAAAGTCACATCCCATACTAACTGAAGTGAAAACATTTGACAGTCGGTAATCAGTTTTATATTTCAAGTATAGTACACTAACCCTGATATCTGAATATTTCATAAGAAGTGATGACGGGTTTGGAAATAAAATTGATAAGTTGTTCAGCTCACGCTGGATTTCTTATCTGATGTAATTTAATATCTTGAATAGCCTAAAGCATGCTCACTATTGTTCATTAAAAAAGCCTTGTCTTTATTCAAGCTGATAATCTGAAGTTGTATTTGTTCATTGTTACCATATTATTTATTTACATCAATTAACATGAGAGTACAATGTATTTCACAAAACTGTACTCTTGGCTTTAGACGGTAATCATTCTACAGATGTTAGACTTAACGTTGAGGAGAATAATTAATTCTTCATAACACTTCAAATTTTAATTATAACCTAAACAAAAGGATTTTATGGGACAATAATTACATTATATAAGAACGTGTTATAAAATGTAGTGAAGCACTAATAGTTTATATATATCCATACACAAACATAGTAATAAAGATGGATATTCGACCAGATTTTATTACTATTTGTTTATTTGATGGATATATATTTTTTTGAAATCCATCTCTTACTTATAATTTTGTATTTAAAGTCGAGACTGAAAATTTTAATCGATTAAAGTATCAATATTTGCATTCCTTAGGTACTTATGTATATGACAAAAGAGCAAATATTTAACGCAAATTTTAGATTTCAATATTGTAGTAATGACTCAATTGAATGAGGAAATATTAAAGTGATTAAAATGAATAAATAGGTAGATCAGATATTATATCCAATTAAAAGACTGTGTTTTCCTGTAATTCAGCATCGATTCCTTGCTGAAAGTATAGATGTATTGACTATAAGAACAATTTTAAATCATCTAATTTTATTGATGTGTTCTAATAATGAATTCTCATGCCTATTTACATCTTTCACAATTAAAACTTCATACACTGGAGTATTCTGTACACAATCAAAGTGGTAAGCTATGTCTGATACATTGTTTATGATCTAACTGGCTACCTTATCAATATTGAAAATGATGCCATGACTCAATCTGTTCACAAAAATGGAAACAACTAAAGTGATCGATCACCTAATTTAAATATGGGGAGAACATTTACTTTTGTGACGTTCTGTATTTATCACGAATGATTACAAGTAAATGAGTTTAATGGTTTGCCGGTGAATTTTCCAAAACGTTGGCTTGAAACGTCGACTTCATTTAGATGATTAGGATTGCACATCGATGTGTTTCTAACTCGTACTTCCTGAGTCATAGTACATGGGTTTGTAGAATTTACAATGACAAACTACGCTGAAATTCTTTTATATGAAATAATCCTTTACCTTACAACTTCATTTGAACCCGATTACTCTGCTGTTGATTTAGTTATATATATATATATATATATATTTATTTATGACTAGGATAATCAAGTTCTCAAGTTCTTACAATTGAATATGAAGTAACATTCTGTCCATCCATAACTTCTTTTTGTTATGACTTGACCTAGCCGTCGCCAATTTGTTATGTTTTTGACCTAGGCTGTAGCCAATTGTTATGATATGATCAAGGTCGTCGCTGATTCGTTAACAAGGACGTAATTCGCGTAACTTATCCACCAATAGAATACGCCTTCTTCAACCTTCACGCTGTGACAATGACGTTCGATTAATATGAGTAATCTAGCGTCCTTATTGGACCTTATCCGCCTAACCCGTCCACTTGAGTCCAAAACACCAATAGCAGTTGCTGTAATGCGAATCGTTTATTTCAAACATACTTTATCTATATACAAGACAGGCAGACCACACCACACCATAAAATAGAAAATAATATTTGTACAAAACCAAGCCAAATGAGGCTGTAAGTGTGGGAGACAATAATCAATAAAACTGAGTATAACATAGGGACAGTAAATCATATAGTAATGATCACTAGGTCAAAATGAAGCTTACAATAAGATGAATATAGATATGGATAATCTAGTTACCGAATAGAATGATAGTCCAATAGTAGGTCCTGCAAGTTACCCGTACTTATGTCTTCGCTACTACATAACACTTTTCCTTTAAAATATTTGACAAACGACTGAATTTTTTCCTAAATCAATTATACTTCACTGGTTTTTTAAGCGCACTGGTTCTGTTAATACAATTTAAGATAAGGTTAAGCGCTAGCGCGCGAGATCGATAGGTCCTGGGTTTGAATCTCGCGAGGTGGGATCGTGGATTAGCACTGCTGAAGAGTCCCACACCAGGACGAAACAGCCGTCTAGTGCTTCCAGGTTTCCATGGTGGTCTTGCATCAATCGGCTCATGATCTCAACTATTAAAATTACTATAATATGCATGAAAACCACTTCTGATAATAATTTAAGATATATTACAAAAATATCTGGTAATATTCTCAACAAAGTGTTTGTTGAAAATGTGTTCATTCCTTTACACAATCAAAGTCAAAGACATAAATGATATAATAAATATTAAATAAAAACAATTAATAGCGATAAACGTAATCAGCTGTTTGACTCGGTCTATTCGTTTTATTGAATGTTAAACCAAAATTTGACTTTTAATTAAATTGGAAATGACCTAGAAACTATTTTTTTCAGAATCAATATTTGAAATGTGTTAACTTTAAATAAACTAACTTCTAAAGCAAATTTGAATGCACAACTCAATGAATAATTCAAACTGAAAAATATCCGAAGTTATTTAAGGTCAACAAAGAAGCGTAATATGTTTTCACAAAAGCTAGGAGTCATATTTACTGTTTCTGATCTGGTTTTAAATTCAATAGTCGTATATTTATTGGGATTTAGAAATGAGTTAGCAAGTCAGTGTCACTAGTAGTCAATGGATCAAAGTTAAGACATACCTGAAACACTAGAATATTAAAGTAACATCTGATTCTGTCTGAATGCTCCTTACTAGTATAAAATGTCTTTTATATATTTTAAAACATCTGCATTTCATATTAATTCGTAATACTCAATATTTGACCATATGACGTCAATGATTGTACACTCATATCATCACCATGTCACAAAATATCATGTTTCTCAACAAAAACAAGTGATCTTAAATAAATAATAACTTACTTTAGCACGAGCTTCACGAGCAGCTTCAGCTTCTGCTGCCATTGCACGTTGTAGTTGTATAGGAAGTCGGACATCTTTGATTTCAATTCTTTCAACCTACAAATTGTTTAAAAGACAGAAAAAAAATTATTAAATTAGTTTATTACAATAACATTAAAACTTTACTACCGGAAGAACAGCATATATGTGTGAAACTAACCCAAATAACATATACATGAGTCATGGCTCGATTTATCGACTTGTACACTTGTATTTCCGCTATTTGCAAGTAAAAAATTCAGTATAAATTGATTATTTAATTTGAAAAGAATTTAGTCAATCTGATAGTTCCAAATCAAATTATTTACATGTAGTTAGTTTACGTTTTTGATACCGTTCAACGTTCAAGATGAAGTTACTTTGAACCATATGACACAAAAGCTGTAATAAGGTTCTTCAAGATTTAAAAGAAAATGATATATAGAAGTCATGGCGAACAGGTATTTTCAGTCAGTCATATCATGATCAACAAATCATCACTTTGTAATAACTTAGCATAATAAGTTGATAGCCACCAAATGTTTTTACTTCGTAACATGTGTACCAAAAATGAAGTTCAGTGAAAAGTTGGTCACTGAACTATTTTTTTAAGAATCTTCCGATCACTTTCCTGTTTTTTCTTGCTTTATGATTGAGTTCTATCAATAAATTTAGTTATATGACTCAATGGAACAAAATCATAATTAAAAATCTTTTCAATGCTTTCAAACCTAATACATATCTAAACTAAATATGTTTCAAATGAGTGTCTACAGAGTTGTTGTATATTTTTGTAACCATCTGTGGATTTATTATATTTTATTGGTTCATATAATGAAAATCAGTAAACAAAATAATATATAGGATCAAAACTGAGCATTTTTAATGTGTTTTATGACATCTCTCAATTGAGCGAATAAGTAACATGGAATATGTAATATGTGTCAATCTCTAACAGAACCTGTGTACAATGCAAAGAAATGAAGTGAAGATCACTTTAGAGTGCTTCATAGAGTTCTTTCTCTTGATACATTCCATATCAACAGGCAATCATAGAGCTAGAGAAAAGTAGCATTTTCAATTAATCCAACGTTACTTTTATACAACATAATACAATACTCTAATCCAAAATCAAAATCTTCGGATGCTATTAAACTCAGATATATACAATGAATAATATACTTTTTACAATATGATAAACTTTCATTACCAACCATCTGGTAAGACTTTCTAAACAAAACAAATTTGTAGGTTTAAGACGTATGACAGTAAAATAATTTCAATCCAGTATTGTTTGTAATGTGACACGATATTTAGCTGATAGAGATAAATTAATTAAACATTAGTTTTATGACCCGAACTGATGATTATGCATTTTGTATTCACTCATTAATAAATCCCTGTCAGCATAAGCTACTTACTTTGAAAATAATTAAGGTTTGTAAAAAGAGATCTTCTACTTTACTTATTAATAATAAAAATGGTAAAGAAATCTATAATGAAGATTTTGAAATTGTCTATTATTGTGCCTATTGTTTCGTCTTACCAGTAATAATATAAAACTGAAACAATTTTGAGTCATACAGGCTGACTAATCTAAGAACTTTCGTCTAAATTAGAGCGAATAGTTTCATAGTATTTTGGTGCCGAGTTGATGTAAGACATTAAATAGGAATAATATATTTGTAAAATCTCAGCGAACGAATTCGAAGTAAATCCAACATTCCGCCTGGCAATCTGGTCCAAGCTTTTTCAAGGAAATATAATCACACTAATATATATACCTAGTTTAGACAGTTTTAACGCTGATTAGATGACCTATCCAGTAAACAATGAATAGGAGAAACATGTACCTATTTATATTCAATAATTTTGATGTTTGATTATATTTCCTTGAAAAGCTTGGACCAGATTGCCAGGCGAAACGTTGGATTTACTTCAAATTCATTCGCTGAGATTTTACAAATATATAGTTCCTATTTAATATAGGCTGATTGTTATTTTTCAAATTATAAGTAAAGAGTTCTTGTTTCATACCGATGTGTACTACTCAGTAAATTAGGCTTACTATTTGATAAAATCTAGATGACTAGAATATTTTATTTAAATAGAAACTTTATTGTTTCCAATGTCTAATGATACTCTAACATCAATGCCAGTTAATTTGATCAATACAAATTTATGGTTTAAAGATCCCCATCATATTAAAAGACTAATATTTGAACGAAGAATATTCTTTTCGATAAATTCTCTTCAGGTCCTACAATTATATATCTAAATTAATAATCCGAATAAATGGTCAGATTAAAGGCAAAGTACATCGTTTAAAGCACGTAGATTTAGGATTGTCAAACCAAATAGAATAAAATTGTTAATGTTGATATGACTCAAATTTATAGGCAAAATCACTTCACAATCACATCATATCAGCTAAACAACCTTTTAGGTATAAAATGAAATTAAAGATTGTATTTCATTATATAAATTACTGTATTTCTCTTGTTTATTCAATTTATTTCATCCTCTTTATTGATTAACTTTATTCAATGTTTTCTCCATCTAAAAAATCAATAATTGTTCATAAATTTATGTAAGCAAATTAAAACGTCATTATGTCTACAGAGATTAAAGTATTACCTGTCCGATAGGAAATAAAAATTAAGGTCATATAGCCTAGTTTATAGTGTCTTACTGAAAGTAACATTTAATGAATTTTTTTCAAGTTCTACAAAACATAATTATTTGCTAAATAAGTAGTTTCTAAGTTGCAGAAACCTAAAGTTTATTCAGTAGATAAGATGTATAATTGATAAAATATTATCCTAAATGTATAACCAAAGTTTAATTCAATGAAATATTTGTAAATGTTTTGACTAAGTCATTCATTAATTAGTAAAAGAGTCTCTAAAGATAAAGAGTGAAAATGGGTTTATTAGGAAAATGATGAAACTTTAAGCTTCCGATAACTAAAGGTATATACATTACTTTTTGAATTAAAACAATAGTTCATTAAAATGGATTCAATTAGTTCTTGTTATGCATTACGTTTATTGAATTCAATGAATAAAATAATGAAATAATTCTAATCAAAACAATTAATCATTTATCCAGAAAGCAATTAAGAAAGTTAAATTGGAACGGCCGTTCCAGTGCTTCCAGGTTTTCCATGGTGGTCTAGCTTCAATTGACTCACGCTTTCAACTATGATAAATACTAAATCTCCACAAAACCCTTTCTGATAATTAAATTGATCTATTAAAACTTGGATAATTAATTAAAAATAATAATATCATGGTAAACTACTATATAGATTTTCAAAACAAAAAACTGAATCCTCCCATTGAAGTTTAGGACCTCCATTGATCAGTCTCTTATTGGCATATGTGCATACTGTGCGTATTGCCTCGATGTAGCCTTAATTCACGAGCATTATAAGCAAAAATGGACTCAGGACTCAGGAGCTGAGTGGATAATGCGATGGTGTTTGAAGCGAATGGGACTGGGTCCGTCTCCCAGAGTGAACATCAACTCTGCGATGCAGGTACATCCAGCTGACGAGTCCTAAATGGGACGAAACGCACGTGCTTGATTCCACTGCTAGCCACTATTTATCTTTGCTCATAATGTTTGTGGATTAAGGCAATATCGATGCAATACGCACAGTAAGTACATATGCCAATAACACAATGATCATTTGCAGTCTTCAACATCAATGGGAAGATTCAAACAAGCAATACCAAATGAATTTAAACTCAACCCAATTGCACAAGCATGTGGCTATCAGGACTCAGTAGCTGAGTGGATAACGCGGTGGCGTTTGATGCGAACAGTACTTGGTCCATGTCCCAGAGTGAAAACATCAACTCAGAGATGCAGGTACATCCGGCTAACGAGTCCCAAATAGGACGAAACGCGCGTCCTGCATTCCACTCTTAGCCACTATCCATCTTTGCGTATAAAAAAAGTGATTTACAAAAATAAATCCTTCCATCTACTCGCTATAATTAAAATGAAATAAGTCTAGTTCATATCCACCTATCTAATATAGAAACTTTTATTTTGTTTTGTTTGTTTGTTTATAGTTAAGTCCATCATAATAATAGTTTTTATAGGCTTCAATGATTATTTCTATCATTAACGAAATGACGTTGTATACAATATCAACGTCTTCATTAGTAAATTATTTTGATAATTAATTATTTAGAAGGGGATTTGTTATAATTTGATTTTAAGGGAAAAATAATAATAAAAATTTTCTAACAGTAAACTGACTATTATTTTCGTTCTTTAGTTTACATTTCGATTTAATATGAAAGATAATAAAACTAAAAAACTATCCATGGTTACTTGAATAAAACATTCTTTCAATTGCGAATAGTGATTTCTATAGAGATAATTTTCATAGTTGAAAGCATGAGTCAATTGAAGCTAAAACGCCAAGGAAAACTTGGAAGCACTGGAAGGCCGTTTCGTCTTGTGGTGGGACTCCTTAGCAGTGCGCATCCACGATCTCGCCTCGCGAGATTTAAGCCCAGGACCTACCAGTCTCGCGCCACAGCGCTCAACTGATAGATCACTAAACCAGCATCCGATCATGGTAACGTCTAACTTCAACCAATCCAAGAAATTGAGCAACCGTCCACCAATGTCTTCAGTGAGTTCCTATCTCACAACAGATGTGGTCTGAACTCCACTGGTCACTGCTTCTCACTAGAACTCCAGGAATTATCACTTTAAGTAAGTCACTAGTGAGCATATGATTATAATCAGAAGGTGGTCTAGCTCCAATCGACTCATGCTTTCAACTATGAAAATACTGAAATTTCCAAAAAAAAACCTTTCTGATAATTTTTATACTCCTTTATATTCTTAAAACGGAAATATTTTGTTATATTTAATTATTGATTGGTTAATGACTCAAGTTTACTTCATATTTAAAAGTATTAAACTGCTCTAAAGTTCAGAAACAGGATTCTTGTAGTGTTGATTAACTTTGAGTGAAATGGTTTAATCTTGGGGCTTTAACTGTCTTTCTAGATTTCATCAGCAGATTGTAATTATTAGAATTTGCATATAGT